AAGTTCCCGTGGAAATTCACACGGAGCGGGAGGACAGGAGCTCGTTTGGGAAAAGTTCCGAGGCCTCGAGGCTCAAGTGTGATCGGCATTCAACATTCGACGTGGCCTCTGTCTCCCGCTTGAAATGAGCCGAGAAGCAACCGCAGCCCTTTGCCCGCACACGCCGCACACCAGTACACGCTCCCGCCACACTTGCCGAATTTCAGGAAACCTCATTCGACACTTGAACAGGGTGTCTACCAGTCCGTAAAGTCCGGAAAAAGTACGCAATTTTTGAGGTCGGTCCGTAAGTACCTCAAAAGTACGTAAATCTCGCGGAAGGTCCGTAAATTTTCGCATTTTGCGCTGCGCGTTCAGTTCGATCGCCTGATAGTTATGCAACCCTCTGTGCATTGTCCGTCAGGAGTATTATAGTGCTATGTCAGACCATAAGAGCGCGGTTGTTGTAGAGGAACGGAATAAGGCATTATTTCCCTAGATTTGACGGAATCAGCCGAAAAGGCCACGGGAATAGCCGAAGTAAAGCGCGCGGCAGTGCCAAAATCGAAGAATTTCGATACATACCGAAAAGGTACTTAAAAAGTACTTAATTTTTCCCCAAGGCGAGGTACTTAAATTTCTGAAGTACCTAAAAAGTACTGAAAAAGTACTTATTTTATTTTTGTGGACCTCAGTAGACACCCTGAATTTTGCCTTAGTGCATTATATCTAGTTTTTTAAAAACCGGAATTCATCGGGGAGGGAAAATTTACCGGGAAAATCAGGGGAGAATCAGGGAATCTGTTCCAGAAACCGGGAATCTCTTCTCTATCCACCCAGAGATTATTTCGTTTTCTAATTTGGCAGTCTAATCTGACGTGTGCCATAGAAATGGCGGTAAGATTAATTAAAATCGATATTCATATCTGAAACTCTGGAAAATTGTATTCTTTTCCCCGAGAAAATCCCGGAAAAGTGGGAGAAAACTTCGGTTTTTCATCGAGGAATGAGCTCCTGAAAATCAGGGAAAAATCAGGGAATGAGCTTTTCCAAGAAAACTAGACACCATGCCTTAGTGCAACAAGTTATCAGTCGCTTGCAGTATCAACATTATTGCCGATACTGCCGTGCTAAGGAAAAATGCCGTATGAACTTGTAGGCGTCGCCAAATTTCCTTAGGTAAATCACGAATTTTCGGGAAAATTTTTGAATATTTCCATCCAATTTTTCAGATAATTTTGTTCGCAATGTCACTTGAAGTTCTGGAAAATTTCAAGGAAAAATAGTCATAACTTTTCTCAAAACTAACGTTTTATCGAAGAAAATTTGGCAACTTTCGAATGTTCATACGGCGTTCTTTCTTCGCACGGCAGAATAGTTATCAATTATCAATCAAATAATGTAATGAGGGCATTGCTATTAGTCCTACTCTATACACCTTGAGTTCCTCAAGTCACTTGAGTCAAGTGGCAGTGCATAGGGGGAAGTATTTTTCAAAAACTCATAATGAAAGAAAGAAATTAAAAGTAAACTAGGGGCTTATAGGGCTGCTTCGCAGCCCCTTATTTTTCCTGTACCTTTTTCACTTTCACATGTTTTTTTTTTTTTTTTTTTTTTTTTTTTTTTTTTTTTTTTTTTTTTTTTTTTTTTTTTTTTTT